AATCACAACGTTGTGCCCCTTGCTCGGATTTTCAAAAACTTAAAAAGTCCCGGGTAGCTGATGAGCTGAAGAAATTGTTGTTGGTTTTTAATTTTTTCTTAGAAATGGGCACCATATTGGTTCATTTCGTGTTGCCTTTTGTCGTAAAACGGGGGAGAAGTACCATATGACTGACTTTGTGCCCCTTTCTAAAACTGTTTTAGAAAAAATTGCAAATTTATCTTCAGCTCGACAGCTACCCGGAACTTTTTTACGTCTTGAAAATCTGAGCAAGGGGCACAAAGTGGTGATTTTTCAAGAGTCACGTAAAAAGAACTACCCTCCGCCGAGAGCAATATTTTTAGTGCGGGGGTGCTGCTGTTGCACGTGGTCTATATCGGCTACTTCACGTACACACGCGTGTTGACACACAAAGCACCAGCTATTTTAGTACCGATACAACGCTGCAGCTCTGGTTGTTAGTAATTAATTATTCAGTATTGCTGGTTATGCTTCGATTTCAGACCAGAAGAGAGTAGCTGTAGCTTTCGCGTCTTTGGTTCTTGATCAAGCTTTTGGTTGATTTATTTCCCCCCCAACACAGAGTAAATAAAATACAACACAACTCAAACAAAACACGAACACACATTGTATTTTAAGAGAGAGGGGGACCCATCTTGTGCTGCTCATGAGTGGACTCGAAACAAGGGGGGGGGGGTGTACTCATAGTCGTGCATGCCGTAGTCGTTAGACCATTGACCTCGCATCCCTACAAAGCCGGGACGGAGCACGCCGGGTTCTCACCGGACCAGGCTCTCACATCACCAAGCGTGAAGCGCCGTGAGGTATTTGGCGAGTCGCATGAAGGGTGCGCCGCATCCTGCTACGGGTGTTCGGCATCTTGTGCTTACTTCCTTGCGTACGAATGACAGCTGCGTATGACTTAATTTATTTTCTGGCGCTTTCACTTCCAGAGATAGTCGTAAGCGCTTTGTAACTGCCTCGAGGGTGCTTGACCAGTTAAACACAACGTGCGATTATCCCCTTTGCGCGGAGTGAGGGTTCTCGACCCCGCACAACATAATCTACTCGACCACCATTCATGGTTACCGCGAAAAAAAAAACAAAGGCAAAAAAAACAAAGCGGTAACCTGGTTGCCGAGCTCACGAAGTGAATCGGCTTGTTTTACAACATCGCTGCCAAGCGACGAAAACCCAACCCCGATGGCAAACACCGGGGGGGGTGCAAGGGGGCGGAAGAAAAAAACAAGAACAAAGCATCACCTTTTCGCAGAAAGAAATAGAAGCCCCAGCCTTGTCGATAATCGGCTGCTTCACCTCCATAACCTGAAGGGTACACACACAGACACACGCGGCGGTCTCTTGTTGGTCAATTGGATATCGGAGTGGATACCAACAAAAAACCAGCCATCACCCAAGCACTATCATGTAATATGACGGTGACGGTACATTAATGGCGGTTCCCGGTACTTGAACTTTTGGTGGTACTTTTTTCGCGGTTACGCAATATGACGGTACTTTTTCGGCGGAATGCGGAATTTCGTTTTTCGGCGGAACGCGCCGTTCCCGGTACATACCACCGAAATGTGGTGGTAAATACCGCCAGTACCGGGATCGCCCACCACGGCGGGAAAACCCCCCCGGGAATTTTCCCGAGGAGTATCCTGCTTGCTTTCCTATGCGGGGATTGTAACAGAAGGACCACGACACCACCACCAACAACAACAACGACGACAACAACAACAACAACAACAACAACAACAACACGATGACAACACCAGCGTACAAACCTGGTCTTCGGACACCATGGCGCTGATCACCCGCAGGATGTTAGCCGAGCGAGGCAGGTGGAAGCTAGCGCTCAGCGTAGGACCCCCTCCCAGGTGCTCCTCCCGGAACTCGATTGGGGGGGTCACCACTCTCTGTACAAGACAGCAGTACGAGCGCAATAATCGAAACGTTTGAATGAACGCGTAGTAAATGCATACACTGTTGTTGTTATTGTTGGTGTCTTCACATTAAAAACCGTTCCGGTCTCCGCTCAGTACCTTCTAATGTCCGTCTGGTCCAACTACGCCTTCCGTGGTCACAAGCCAACTGCCCCACCAATAAAGCTATAGACAGATTTGTACTTTGAAGTTTCTTTTTTTTTTGTTTTTTTCTTTATATGACACAACGAATCCATCTCTATCATAGAAAAGAGTCTGAGACAGATTAGCAATGAATTCATAGCGTCAGAGAGTTTCTTTGGTTTCCTTGCGCTGTAAGAAGACTTTGCACTGACTGTCGCGCCAGCTGTCGGGCCAGTCGTGGCCTGCCGTGTCGAACAGCCCGGCAGAAGACGTCAGCTTCAACAACATACGCACACAGCACGCGGCAGCTCGGCACCTGTTCTGCTGTGGAACCCGAGTGCCAGCACATACATGCCAACAGCTCAGCGGGCG